CATATCCAGAGTTTGAGACAGTGAGAAAAATACTGACGGAATCAGTGCCAAATAGATGAGTCTACGATGAAATAATTTATTAGAGAAAACTTAATATTTCAATTCATTTACAGTCTTCCTGTACCGCCACGTTTTATAAGACTTTACAAATTAACATACAAAATCAACATAAAAGAAACACAACCAGCATCTGTACGGAGTTAGAGGAAATATAATAAAGTATACAGTTGGTGCGTCTGGCCGCTAGCATTTGTTTCCTACTGTAAGAGTCCGCCTGTGGGTGCTCAAGTGTCCCCCACTGTATATACATGACTGGGTTACGAAAGGGGAAGGATTCACCCCTAGACTATTAAAAAGCTAGAGACATGGTGCCGAGGAGAACACTACATTTATGCCCAGCGAGAAGATTTAGAAGTGCCTTGCGGGAGGGACGGAGAGAGGGTCTTGTGTTTACAAATTTCTGGCGGGAAGTCCCTCCACTCTAAGCCAAGTTCTGGTAATCCTATCACATAACACTCCTTAACGCCCGCCCTGGAGTCTTTATTTTAAGTGAATCTGACGAAGTAATTTGCGATTATTTTTCATAAAAGCTGAGGAAGGAAGGACTTAAGATAAATACAAAGAGAGAGAGAGAGAGAGAGAGAGAGAGAGAGAGAGAGAGAGAGAGAGAGATAAACATGAACGTTGTAAATAAACAATATGGTTCCCCCAGCTCTTAAACTTCACTTCAGGTAAATTATGAACGTGGCCATATAGAGCAAAAACTCTTAATGTGTATGTTTTGTATTTCTGAAACAAACAAACAAACAGACTATATAAATACGTGTGTTTTATCGTTGAATAACAACTCTTAAAACATTCAATAATATTTAACCATAAACACTTAATCAGAATATCGTAATCCCTACTGGATAAAAAAAAAAATAATAATAATAATAATGACATCCAGTTATTTTTAAAGGCACTAACATCAGTATTTATTTTATTTTGAATATATCTTACTCCTTCGCATTAGCTGTTGACGCGCACTAATACATAAAACAACATCTTCTAGTCTCCTTAAATACCACTATGGCAACCAATCACAATCAGCTGAGACCAGTATGAACACCAGGAGGGTGATGTTGGTACGTCATGCTGTACCCCTAATTCGATAGTTCGCAAAGCTGATTGTAGGGTTGGAGACGAGATGAGCGAGTGGTAGAGGGGTCAGGTGGAGGAGGGACTGGGAGATGGAGCTTAAATTTAGTCATTAAAACGCGTACATCAGTAAGGTGTCTGGTGAAGATGTTTGCTGAAGGTGAAACTGTCAGTGTTGAATGTTTTTGTTACGTGACTGATTCTGTGTTGACAGTGAAGGTACTGTACGCCTCAGTGCTAAAGGGGTTACAACACTATAATTACAAAGGTAATATGAAAACATCAGTCTACATCTGTTACATCACCACAAGTCCTCAGGTGTCAACATTACAAATTAACAGTAAAGTAAAGGTAATAATAAACGTGGTCTCTCAGTAAAACCTCACAGTTGTTTACTATTCTCCTCAACACTTGTCCTCAACAATTCTAGTATTATAGACTCGAGTTTTTCTCTTTTCATAGAATCTCAGCTGTTGCCACAACCCATGACGGTGAGAGCCAGCCAGCTGTTGTCTTCCCGCCAGGAGAGTCCTGCTGGTGGCCTCGTCAGGCAGGTCACGTCCAGCTCTCGGGGGACAACCCCAGATGGCTGGCCGCCCTCCTCAACCAAGTCACATATCGAGGGGGCGAAAGATAATCTCAGATGGCTGCAGGTGGTGCTGACGAAGACTAGAAACTCTCGGATCTGCACGTACGTCCTCCATCACCCTTGACAGGACAACTTTATTCTTCAAGAACGTCTCAGTCAGCCTCGCTACCCAGAGGAAAAAATAAAATCTCGATAAAATGCACTTATCCACCGCTAAATGCATCCTATCCTTATGGAAATGCAGGTGGATCCTCGGGTCGTGCTGGAGGCCGAGGCGATGTGATGATCAGGTAACTCCTCGAGAACATGACGAAGGTTTCTGACAAAGCTCTTCGGTTCTACACACGGGGAGCATAATAAGTAATAATATTGGCTGGTTTTCTAGTAGAGTATTGTTTGACGTCTTGGCTGGTGATGGAAGACTCCTGGAGGTGTTGAGAAATGATAACTGAAGAAGTTAAGGTAGCTGAACGCGTTTTGATGGGAGAAGCTCTTTAGCTGAAGAACGACGTGGTTGAGACTAGAGAGTTTTCACCAGAACAGATTATTGTGAGGAAGTCCCCGATAAGACCCCGAGGTGGGAACTTGTTATGGTAGTAAGTAACATGATCAAAAGCAGAACGTCGACAGAACCCCGTAAGACTATGACCGGTCGTAAGAGACATTCTGGAGGAACGTGACGATCTTACAGAAGAACGACAGACGACGTAAAACGGGGTTGAAGGACTGTAGGACGTAAAGCAGAAATGTACAGGACATAAAACTGGAACGCATGAGGTGTTAGGAATGACGTCCGGCGTGGTCTTGCATTCACATGACCCCCCCCCCCCTTTCACCCCCCCTGCCTGTCAACCACGATCAATCTAATTAATGACCTGTCGTAATCCCCTTCTCCAACCTCCATTGCACACCGTGACCCCCAACCTTCATTGACCCATGACCTACCCCCCTAACCTCCAAGCCATTCTAATCATTTAATATCTGCAATGAAATGATTAAGAAACACTAAATAGATTAAAAAAAAACATTTACCAAATATTGAGACAAAATATATATGAATAAGATTGTTGTTCTATGTTTTTACGTAAGACTTTGGCCACTAGTCGTTATATTGAAGGAAAAAAGAGGGAAAATTACAAAAATATTCCTCCTCCTCCTCCTCATTCTTCCCCCTCTTTCCCACCCCCTCCTCTCCCCTCTCCTCTCCCCCGTCCTACCCCTCTCTCCACACCTCCTCCCATCTCTCCCACACCCAGTCCTCCCCTCTCCCCACACCTCCTCTCCCATCTCTCCCACCCAGTCCTCCCCCCCCTCTCTCCCCACCCCTCCTCCTCTCTCTCCCACCTTCCTTTCCCCTCTCTCTCTCACCCCGTCCCTAACCCTCTCCCACCTCCTCTCCTCTCTCCACCCTTCCTCTCCCCTCTCTCTCACCCCGTCCTACCCTCTCTCCCACCCTTCCTCTCCCTCTCTCTCTCACCCCGTCCTACCCTCTCTCCCACCTCCTCTCCCTCTCTCCCACCCTTCCTCTCCCCTCTCTCTCCCCCCTCCTCTCTCCCACCCTTCCTCCCTCTCTCTCTCACCCCGTCTACCCCCCCTCTCCCCACCTCCTCCCCCTCTCCGTCCTCTCTCCCACACCCCCTCCTCCCTGAAAAAAATAAAATAAAAATATTCACGTCGCTGACTGATCCTCCACGAGCAAAGTTTGTGCTGGTGGCCTTCAGAAATATTCATCGATATGGTCTTACAGTTGTGGGTTTTAACGACTACTACGACTACCACTACTACTACTACTACCACCCTCACCACCACTACCACCGAAACCACTGTCACAACCACCACTACTACAACCATTACCACTAACACCATCGCCGCCACCACTACTACTACCACTCCCCATGCACCAACACTACACAACACACACAGGTGAATCACACAAAGGTAACCCCGTCTCCCTCCCGCGCCAATAAAATGAGGTAGCCACGACGTCTATTGGTTAGTGAAGTATTGATGCTGGCAGGTTGTTGTTGTAAAGGTCACCCCACTGACTCACGTGTGGGTGGTGGCGATGACGACACAGTGAGGGAGACAGGGAGAGAGAGACAGACAGACAGAAGAGGGGGAGAAAAAACGAGAGAGAGAGAGTGTGTGTGTGTGTGTGTGTGTGTGTGTGTGTGTGAGAAAACAAGCGACAGACAGAGAGAGTTTTAAAAATGGAAGAGGGGTTTGAAATGTTGATGACAAGAGAGGAGTGGACAAGGTGAGGTGGGAAAGATGAGACGTGAGGGGAAGGATGAGACGTGAGGGGAGGATGAGACATGAGGGAAGGGGTGAGACGTGAAGGAGCAGGATGAGGTGTAAGGGAAAGATTGAAACAAACGTGGGGGGAGGGAAGGTAAGAAGAAGGATAAGGGAAGAGATGTAAGGTGTGAGGGAGGAGGATAAGGTCATCATATGCCGGGAAGCAGACGTCAACAAAGGCAGGTCTCTGAGGTTGTCTACCGGAAGGAACTGACCTTATTATCCTCCCTGCTTCTGTCTCAGGTTAGTGACGTCTCAAACAGGTTACCATCTCTGCTTATCTGTCACCACGTCTAATAATGCTGTTGATCTGTCATTTAGTGCAACACTGTTTACCCATCGTTGGTCTACTGTCAGTCAGTCGGTCTAACAGGATGACCCTTGAATGACGATCTACTGTCCTACTTCCATCACAATCTACCTGTCTAGTTGTATGACCATCTACCCGTCTATTAATACATAGGTCATAACTCTCTCTGTGCTGTTAGTTTGTCACGGTATTTAGCGGGTTAATATCCGCCCCACCGCCAAGAGCAATGCTCATTAAAGTGTACCAAAGGAAGTCGACGAACAGCACCAGAAATGGCCCAAATTTTGACCTCCCCTGACTTCCTCCCGTGATCTCTGACCTCCTCTGACCTTTAACCTCCCCGGACCTCTGACCTCCCCTGACTTCTAACTTCCCCTGACCTCTAACCTCCCCTGACCTCTAACCTCCCCTGACCTCTAACCTCCCCTGACCTCTAACCTCCCCTGACCTCTAACCTCCCCTGACCTCTAACCCCCCTTAATGATATTCCGGTGTATGTCGCTCATTCATTGCTTCATTCACTATTTCATGGAATAAATAACTTTTTAATTAATTGAATTTTTCACTTTCATCCACGGTTTCATTCATTGATTCTTTCTCTCTCGTATTCACTGTTTTATTCACTGATTCATTCACTGATTCATTCACTGATTCATTTACTGATTAATTCACCGTCGTATCCAATGTTTCATCCACTACTGCATTCACTGCTTCATTCGCTATTTCATCCACTACTTCATTCACTGTTTCAGCCAATGTTTTATTCAATGCTTCATTCACTGCTTCATTTACGGTTTCATTCTCTGCTTCTTCCACTCCTTGTTTCACTGCTTCAATCACTGCTTCATTGACTGTTTCATCCACTGCTTCATTGACTGTTTCATCCACTGCTTCATTGACTGTTTCATTCACTGCTTCGTCCAACCAAATAGTGAAATGGTTTTAAATAATCCCTTTTTAATCCGCCGTTGAAGGATAAAAGATAGGAAAGATTTAATCATTGTTAATCTTTATCAAATATTTTTATTGTCGTAAAACTAAAATAGCATTAACATTTTATCTTAATTAACTAAAAATTACTTCTTATACCTGAATGTTTAATTTAAAGGTGTGTTAAAATATTACGTTGTTTCTAACATAGATGTTTAATTAGTTGTAAATAAACACCCAGCGGTTAATGTTGTCAATTAATTGTAAATAAATATGAATTGGTTAATGTTGTTTATATTATGTTACCTGTATCTCTCTGGTGGTTAATGATCGGTTATATTAAGTTATCCTCTGAATAGTTTAAGTTCTGATATCGTAACTTTATCCTCTGCTGTATAAAGTGGTTACCGATGCAATATCTTGAATGTTATCGTCCTGGTGGTTAAGTTATCCTCTTAAGTAGTTAACGTTCCGATATCGTAACTTTAACCTATCATAAAATGGGGTTAGTTTTATGATAGGGACACCAAACCGATAAAGTTGAAATACCGATAACAAACAATAATATCTTAAAGCTCTTCGTGGTTAAATATTCCGATATCAGAACATTAACCTCGGCCTTAATAAATAAAAACACTGATTCTTGTGGTGATATCGAGGGTAAATTGTTAATATATTTCAGTTATATTAAGAGTAAATATTAACACATATCTAACTCAATATATCCGTAGAATTAACATGTAATACAGTAACCTCTTTGTTATTAGTCATTTATACAGTAACTATTGTATTAATTCTCTCTTAGGTTGAGTAATAATCTATCTATCTATCTAATTTATCTATCTATCTATTTATCTAGTTAATGCCTGTGTTTATTTATCATTCCACTGTTAGATATCTTCATTCCACCTGTCCTTCACGCCTTTCCATTCCACCTGTCCCTCACCCTTCCATTTGTCCCTCTCTCCTACACTGCGTCTGTCCTGTCAATGTATCGCCACACACACACACACACACACACACACACACAGCGTTATCTTTCCATGTCCACGACTAGGTGAGACTGGTGATCACACCCACGACCTGGTGACCACGCCCACGACCTGGTGACCACGTGTAGGACCTGGTGAAGATGGTGACCACGCCCACGACCTGGTGACCATGTGCATGACCCGGTGAGGATGGTGACCACGACCTAGTGACCACGTGTAGGACCTGGCGAAGACGGTGACCACGCCCACGACCTGGTGACCACGCCCATGTGGAGGCCTGGCGTGTGGAGGTTACCTGAGGCTTGACGCTATTTATAGGTCAGGCCGCGTCACGCACGCCTATGACGTCACCAACATTTTATAACCATTCTTCTGTTCAGGATAATTATGTGACGTGTTGTGTGACGTGTTATGTGACGTGTTGTGTGACGTGTTATGTGACGTGTTATGTGACGTGTTATGTGACGTGTTGTGTGACGTGTTATGTGACGTGTTGTGTGACGTGTTGTGTGACGTGTTGTGTGACGTGTTGTGTGACGTGTTGTGTGACGTGTTATGTGACGTTCTCTTCGTGGCACATAACGATAACGACGTTATAATGGCGAAGGTGGTAATAGTGATGATAGCGAAGATGGTGGTGGTGGTGGTAGTGGTGATGGTAAAGATGATGATGATGATGATGATGATGATGATGATGGGGTGGTTAATCTTCACGTTAGGTTAAGTTAGGTAAACGTTATAATGGTTAAGGTTAATCTTCGGGTGAAATAAGCTGGGGGACGGGGAGCTAATCTTTAGGTGATCCCATATTCTTTACCAGCGCCCTAGAAAGTGTTCAGGGGAGGATGACAAGACTAATCTCGGGCATTAGGAACCTTGAGTACAGAGACAGGTTAAAGCATCTGAATTTGTACTCCCTCGAGAGACGTAGAGTGAGAGGCGATATGATCGAGGTGTATAAATGGGAGTCAGGGTTAAACAAAGGTCATATAACAAAGGTACTTAAACTATCCAACCAGGAGCGAACTCGTAGCAATGGTTTCAAATTAAAAAAAAATAGATTTAGGCTCGAAATAGGTAAACATTGGTCTGGAAATAGAGTAGTGGATGAATGGAACAAGTTACCAAACTTCGTCATTAACTCGAACACGCTGGATAGCTTCAAACATAGGTTGGGTGTAAATGGGACTGCCCAGTATGGGCCAATAGGCTCGCTGCAGTTTCCTCCATTCTTATGGTCATATGTTCTTAAGAGTCAGGAGATAGACATAGATGAAGTAGGAGGGAGACACACAGGCGGGGTGAAGCCGGATGGAGGAATGGTGGAGCATCACAAGTGTAAGTCCGGCCTCGACCAGCTGGCCACACCTCACCCTCCATCCCACCCACCCACCCTCCATCCCTCTCACCCTCCCTCTCACCCACCCACCCACCCTCCCACTCACCCAGCTGCAACATTACTGCCGATACCGTGTCGATAATTGGTGAAAAATAAGCGTGGGTTAGAGGGAGCCGGGCGGGAGTATTTAATGGTGGAGGAGAGGGAAGGTTGTGTAGGGCCAGCCTCACACCCTCCTTCCTGGCAACACCAAACATCTTCAACACTTCCTCTTCTTCTTCTTCCTCCTCCTCCTCCTGACTAACTACTAATCTTTACAGTGAGTCGTGTGTCTGATAACTTTGGTGTCAGGATTATCTATCAGGTGCTTGAAATGGTGGTGATTGTTGTCGTGTGGTGGTGGTAGTTCTGGTGGTAATTGTTGGTGGTGGTGGTGAAGAAAGGCGTGAGGGAGGGAGACCTTGAACATCAAGAGGAAGATAAGTCACCACAACACACCTCCTCCATCAAGGTAACCCTCTCTGGCAGGTGACCAGGTATGAAGCGGGAGGGAGGGGAGGGAGGGGAGGGAGGGGAGGGTTAGGTTTTTACCCCACGCTATGTTTACTTGTCACTTACCCAGACCTCCTGTGGGGTGGTCCTTGTAACGTAACACAACTCACTCAGTTTCCTCCGATTAAGTGAAGATTACGCACCCCAATATAGTTTACCTGATAACTAAATACCCTAATGCTAACCTAACCTAACCTAACCTAACACTAACTTAACCTAACCTAACACTAACTTAACCTAAATTAACTTAACTAGCCTAAACCAATCCCTCCTAGCCTATTCTCCAGGTGAACAAATTACCTCTCCTGGGACTCGTTACCTGAACTAATATAATCTTGTTCCTGTAAACCTTTTCAGGTATATAATTCTTATTAATAAACAGGACGTGTCAACAGGTGGGTGGCGTTAGTGAAGGACAGAGGTTAAACAGGAGGATATATTTGAGGGGGGGGGAGGGGGCCTTGTTGTGGCAGGTGAGTATACCGTAATATAACGCGTCTAGTATACTAATAACAATGAATGAATGATAGTGAATGTATGTGGTGATAACTGCCCTCTTCCACCTCCTACTCCTTCCTTTTCACTCTCACTTCCCCTTTCCTACCTCCCCTTTCCTACCTCCCCTTCCCATCCTCTCCCTTCCGCATGTCTTAACCTCCCTACCCTCCTCAATTCCCTCCCTGCCTGACCCTTCTCTCCCATCCCAACACTATCATCGTCCCCCTTCATCCAAACACATTTCCCCTTCCCTCTCCCTCACCCACCATCTCCCCAGGACCCAACAATGGCTACTTCCCTCTATTACCATAATTACTTTCTTCTTACAGACGTCACCCAGACTTGTCATCTTCAGACACACTCTACACAAACACTTAACATAATAATCCAAATGTAAATTAAATTCGTCTAATCTTTTTCATTCGTAGATTTGAGTCAAGATTTTTACAGAGCATTTATACATTTAATAATTTCTGGTTAGTGAAGATGAAAGAATACACTTAACTGATTGACTTAAGGTGATGCAGTTAACTTGTGAATCTTTAAGAATCTACACAATGGTTGGAAGAGGAGCCATCCATGTCGGTCGCCTTCGTAAATAATGGTGGTGTCGGTGCCAGTGTCAAGTTTCGGTGTAAACAGTCGGTACCAAGTGTCCGGTACCAAGTGTCCGGTACCAAGTGTCCGGTGCCAAGAATGAAGTGTCGGTGTCTGACTCTGGGGTCGCCTCACATAAGAATATAAAAACATAAGAAAATAAGGAGTCTGCAATAGGCCGGTTGGCCTGTGCATGGCAGCTCCTGTCTAGAGTTACAACCACTCTCTATCATCCATGAATCTATCTAGCCTCCTTTTAAAACTTTCCAGCATTCCAGCACTTACTACAAAGTTGCTAAGCTTGTTCCACTCGTCTACCACCCTATTTGTGAACCAGTTTCTTCCTATCTTCCTCCTAAACCTAAACTTATCCAACTTAAATCCGTTGCTACGAGTCCTATCCTGCTCGGATATTATAAGAACTTTATTTATATCTCCTTTATTGATTCCTTTTACCCACTTAAATACTTCTATCATATCTCCCCGCACTCTTTGTCTTTCTAGGTAATGCAAGTTTAGTTTCTTTAATCTCTCTTGATATGGAAGGTTTCTAAGTCCCGGAATCATTTTCGTCATTCTTCGCTGCACCGACTCCAGTGAATTGATATCCATTCTATAATAAGGGCACCAGAACTGAACAGCATAACCGAGGTGCAAGATATAATTTCAACATGACCCCCGCACTCTTATTACTTACACTTCCAGATATAAAACCTAATACTCTGTTTGCCTTATTTCGAACATTAACGCACTGTTTTCTAGGCCCACAGTCCGGGCTTACAAGTACCCCTACGCCTGCAGCTCAGTAAGTCAACACAGCCTTATAACAGAGATAAACAGAGAGGCATGACGATGGTTCTCCCCCCCCTGTGGGCATAATCTCAACACCCCTCCTCCCCACACACTGTACATATATGCTGCTCTAGGGAGTCTGATCTTAAGTGAATGTTTGGCAGACAACACGTGTAAATGACCTCTTCTTCTTCCTCCTACTCCTCCCCACTACAAGATCTAGCTGCCAGAAATATTTAGGAGTATGCTGACGTGTGTGTGTGTGTGTGTGTGTCGCAGCAGTCGACACACGTTTCTGGGACAAGATATGACGTAGCAGACGACACACGTTACTGACACAAGATATGACGTAACAGACGACACACGTTACTGACACAAGATATGACGTAACAGACGACACACGTTACTGACAAGATATGACGTAACAGACGACACACGTTACTGACAAGATATGACGTAACAGACGACACACGTTACTGACACAAGATATGACGTAACAATACAAAATCTACCTACTATACACTAGACCATCACCGTGTTGCCTTCCACCACTATATAACTTAATGACTTGATGATCATATTTTTTTAATTGTATGAGAGAGAGAGAGAGAGAGAGAGAGAGAGAGAGAGTAACTTACGTAATGACGGCTGCAGTACACCTGTCGTTCCCAAAGTTGACATACGATTTAACTCAACATACCTGAGGAGAAAAACACCTGGAATTAGATATATTCGGTACATATATAATCTAAATATAATCAGATATACTATAATAATACACACACACACACACACACACACACACACACACACACACACACACACACACACACACACACACACATATGTAGAGCTGCTAGTACTAAGCAGACCCTAGCTAGTGTGTGTGTTGTGTGTGTGTGTGTGTGTGTGTGTGTGTTGTATGTGTGTGTGTGTTGTGTGTGTGTGTGTTATTCACCTAAAGCAACATACCGACACAACTATGTTTATGCAACAACTCTATTTCTAGTTTATCGATTTTTATATTATAACTTATGTGACTCAGACTCAGACCTTGGCGAGCACACACACACACACACACACACACACACACACACACACACACACACACACACACACTCAATATGTATCTTTGAATACAAATCACTTCGCGAAAACACTCATTATATTCGTATAAGTATTATCCACCACAGTGTACAGCATTATCCACCACAGTGTACAGTATTATCCACCACAGTGTACAGCATTATCCACCACAGTGTACAGCATTATCCACTACTTCTCCCAGCTCTCACCATTAATATCAACAAGGCAACATTCCTTCAAAACTCTACGTTACTATTACGCTGTTGTGTCGTCATCAGGAGTTCGTTATATCGAGCGACACATTCCGACATACCAAGTGTACAGTACATTGATTGGTGGAGAGTTTTCGTTTTAGAATAATACGGAGGCTTTTACGTCCGTGTTCCTCTGACCTTCAACTTGGGTAGTGGAAT